AAATTTTGTTTTTTTATTTTAGATAAGAATTGGATCCGCTAGACGTGTTACAGAAAATAACAACTCCGGCTGCGCGGTATAAACATATTAAAATATAATAATGTAAAATAACATTTTTTTTTATAAAAAAAATATTTTTGTATTGTCTATAGATGTCATAAAACAACCTTAAAATTTTATATTGGTCCGCTTAATGGTTGCTGAGAAAAAAATTCGCGAAAAAATCGTCCTTTTTTTGGCGACCTAAATCAGATTCCCCCCTTAAACACAAATACAAAATGTTTTAACTGTGTATTAGTATTGCTTTATTTGTTTATGTAAATAATATAATCCATCAATGTTTCTATTTTTTAAACATAAATTGTTACTCTCACAACGTACTCAGACAGCACAAAATATTTACGATAAATATTTATTAATATTCATTTTTTAAATTGTTATATAGATATTTTATACATATTTTACATAAAGCTTTATTCGCGAAATATTATTAAAACATAGGCTAAATATTTTATGTAGATAATATTTATGATAAATATAAATAAATATTTCTAATAAGTATTTTTTACTTGGATTATAATATCTTATTAAGTATTTTCATAATATTTATTATACAATAAAAAATTCTCTCATAATATTTACAATAAATATTTATGATCTGTGCAATCTAAGCCATAAAAATATTTACAAAATATTTAAAAAAATCTTATAAATATTTATAAATATTCTGTAAATATTTTATAAATATTGTGTAAAAAAGCCTAACAGTACTTTGTCTTTAATAATAAAACATATAATTTTAAATAACATTTTGCAATAAAATAATAATAATAAAATGTATATACATATACAAATCTACAGTATATACAATACATATAACAATTTATAAAAATGAATGTCACGTTCGCAAAAACTGGATAAAAGTATACTTATACATGTATTAATTACAATATTATTATAGATAAATTTGATAAATTATATTGTTCTCATTTATAGATATAAGATATAGTCCCCTGTGTATGTGTTAATATATATCCATGACTACAATCGGCTACATATAGTTTATTGTGCACGCTTTATGTATAATGACATAAAGACGCCAATACACGAGTTCCATTTAAAATATTAGTTCTCTCTGTCCGCGCTAATATTGAAGCTGGCGGCTCTTACATTTAGTACGGACATACACCATATTTACTTTCAACGTTACGATTTTATCGGCAGTGTCGCGAAATAGACGTAGTACCTAGTCCCTGATCATTAAAATGGACGTTGGTTCGCTAGTGTACGGGGCTTTGATTCCCACTATTCCCAGTTCCCACCTGTCCTACATGGCACGTGATCCGGTGATCTTACGAAAAAGGGGGATCAGCTGCTGATTATCAACATGGCCCATAATACGGCCGCTGTCACTTGTCGGAGTTCTTTGGATAGTGTTGATTGACTTGATTGTTGTTCAATTTAATTTTGGATTCGTCATGAGCACCTATCAATTAGAACCCTGTATCGAGCTTCCTCTCTCGGAGGAGAAGCTGAAAGAAAGCGTAGATAAAGCGAAGGACTGGGCGCTTATGCATGGTAATTATGTTTTTTTTACTGATAAGAAATAAATTGCTGATAATCAAATGTATGATTATATTTATACACTTGCTCATTCCTGATAAAACTTGCGAGTCATAAAGGCAAACATGATGGCTATTTTATAGTTTTAAGCATAAAGAATTCAAGGATATGATGCAAATATAAAATAATTGCAATGATTCAGATGATGCATTTAGACAGATTTATGTGATGAGATCTTATGTTATTACTTAGGGATATCTATGCGGTCCAAGACAAATTTTAATAAGGACCAGGTACAACTACTACCTGTTACATTGTTACCATCGAGCTTTCCCGAAAAGCCCTTTTTAACTGTAAAAAATGTACAAACTATATTAAACGAACTTATTCATAAAGTTGCTCATGATAAGGAATTTCTTACAAGCAGCTTAAAAAGGTACTGTTACTAGAACTATAATCATAATGGAACTTTTCTTATTGTAGAGTTATATTATTTGATTTAGCACAATCCAAGCTGATCCATTTACAGCAAAGCTATTCCACATATATGAGACAGTATATGAAAAAGGTTTTAGTCAGGTATGTGATATTAAATAATAATGTCTATATTAATATCTAGACATCATTGTGCACAAATACAAAAGAAGATTTTCCTGTTATCTAGAATATAAGTCTTGGACTATTGAGATCAGATTATTTATTACATGATGATGATTGTAAGATAAAGCAAGTAGAAATAAATACAGTAGCGACTAGCTTTGCGGCCTTAGCTACAATTACATCCGAATATCATAGGTAAGTTCAGTGTGAAAAACTTTATTAAGAAGAAATATTATTAATATTTGAAAAGTTTTTTATTTAAATGTTTTCAATGAAAATATATTTATTTTATAGGTATATATTAGAAGAATTGGGATATAGGAAGAAAGCGTGCGAACAAGTAAATTAATTGTTCATTATTATTATAATTTTTTAAGATATAGTTATTTATGTTTGGTTTTTGTAACATGCTAAACTTCTTCAGTAAATCTGTTTTTTTAACTGGACTTCTTGCAGAGTTCATTTTTCTCTTGTTTACTCCAATGTGAAAAAAAAGAAGTAAGATGAACAATGCAAGAAGTTCAGCTAAGAGAATAGTTATATCGTTCTTGATACTGTAATATTTTGAAAATATTTTACAGTTTATTAATATTGATTATTGCTATTCATAAGATTCCAGAAAATAATGCGCTTATTGGATTTTGCAAAGGATTAATATTCGCATGGGAATTGTATAATAATTCAGAGTAAGTTGAGTGATAGAGAGCAGATTTTATTCTGGTTGTTACATTCTATAAATAAGACTAATAAATAAATTGTTTTAGGGCTGTTATATTGTTTATTGTTGAAGATATAACTTATAATATAAGTGATCAAAGGTTTCATGAATTTAAAATTCGTCAATTATGTCCTAAAATTAAGATTATTAGAAAAAGTTTAACAAATTTAGTATCGGAGGGAGTGAAATTGGGACCAAATAAAGAATTAATTGTGTAAGTTGCAATCTTAATTACAATTTATGTTATAAATTATATTAAAATTTATACAAAATATTTTAAAAGAGAATTTTTATCAAAACTGCAAATATGGAAATAAATACTGAATAAAGAATACAGATATTTGAAATGTTGAATTATTGAAACATTTGAATTATTTAAACTGTTTTAGTTCAAATATGGTAGTGGCTGTTGTTTACTATCGTTCAGGTTACGAACTTGAAGCTTATCCTACAGAAAAGGAATGGGACATGAGATTGTTAATAGAGTGTTCTCGTGCAATAAAGTGTCCATCAGTACAGTATCATTTAGCAGGTACTAAAAAAGTATGTAAATCATTTTAATTTTTATGTGTCTAAACAAGAGTAATATACAACAAATTAAATTTTCTTGTTATCTGTACAAAAGCTGTATGAAATATTGGAATAATTAATAGAAAACAAGAACATTTAATTTTTATCATACTTATTACAGATAGAATAAATTTCGTAATATACATATATTCGTTGTAATTAAGGTTTGTAAAATATTTCGATTTTGAAAATTATCTTTTTAGGTACAACAATCTTTAACTCAACCTACTGTATTGAAAAAATTTCTAAAAGATGATGCATCTGTTACTAGAGTGCAAGAAATATTTACTGGTCTATATACATTAGATTTTGTAAGTAATGTATTCATTATTTCATCATAATGCTTATATAATTAACAATTATATGAATAACTTCAGTAATTCAAATCCAAAATAATGTATTTATTGCAATAATAGAATGATGATGGAGAAAAAGCAGTAGAAATGGGTACAAACGAACCGTACAAGTTTGTTCTCAAACCACAAAGGGAAGGAGGAGGGAATAACGTATATAATGAAAGTATAAGAACGTGGTTAAGTTCAATGAAGGAATCGCAAGAAAGAACGGCATGGATTCTCATGGATCGTCTTTATCCTCCTTTACAAAAAAATTATTTTGTACGTGCCGCTGAAGAATCACCTTTAGAGGATGACATTGATCTATCAGATGTTATAACAGAACTTGGCATATATGGCGTAATAGTAGGGTAAGTACAGATGGGATGACTTGCATTTTGATTATCATATTCTTTGTTAATAAATAAATGACATTAATGATATTCGTATAATATCTTTCTAGGGATAGCAATGAAATAATGTTAAATAAACAAGTTGGACATATTCTAAGAACTAAATTATCGAGCGAGGATGAAGGCGGAATAGTTGCAGGTGTTGGTGCTCTTGATAGTCCCTATTTAATTAGCTAAAATTATACATCTCTAGAAGAATAATTTTAATTAAATAGATAGTTATACAATTTATGGGAGAGAAAGAGAGAAAGAGAGAATATACACTATATTATGTTTATTATAAATGTTTTTTATTGTATATGTATATGTAGGCATATGGATATAAGATATGAATTACTGGGAATCAAATAAATCTTTAATATCAATAATCATTTATATGATGACGTTGTATCTACGTTTATTAATTTTTAAATATTAGATTTTTATTATAATTGAATTAACATTAAAACATTTTAACAATAATAATAACAATATTTTTTAAAAAATTCCATTTTTATTGATCATAAGATAACAATTTATATTGCAATGCAAAACTGCAAAAACTGTACAGAGAAAGTTTAATATTTCTGTAACTTTCAAGCCTTATAACTCGAAAAGTACTTTATTGCAGTGTTTTGAAAAGCTCTTGACACCAGCTAGGCACATTCACCTTGATATCTAAAGTAATAAACATTAAAAAATTTTTCAAGAAATCTATAAAATGTTTTGTTATAACTGAGTTTCAATAATTTTTAACATATCTTTATTATTATAGTTAAATTATTTTAAATGTAAAGAAGAACAACGCGCGAATCTAGTTTCTCTGTCTCTTCAACATCCCTCTCCTCCAAGCACCTGATATTGGTTTCTTTCATTACTTTCCATCGCAGCCTACAAAAAGAATGCTCAATAGTTAAGTCTGTAATAATTTATATACATTTAAATAGTTGATTAAATTATCCTCTTAACTATGAATATAGTTATTTTTTGAAATCACGCGTGCGTGTACTCCGTGCATAATGCACAGAAATTGACATAATACACATTATAATTCGATAAATATAATCACATAAGCGATATAATCACAGAAAGTAATATCATGTGTCTAAGTGTAAAATTATTACGTTATCTTCATACTTACGAATTCATCATCAAGAGGATTGACATGTTCGTGCTGTTCAGGAGACACATCTTCAATTGTCGAATCGAGTGTTAATTCAACCTCATCTCTTTGGTTAAACCACGGATTTTGAAAACGAATGCGGTGAATGCTGCAACAATTATATATTATACAATTTTAATTATATGCTAATGACATTTATATATAATTCTTAAAGAAGAATTCCTGTTTCAATCAAATACTAAAATAAATTTAAGACGTACTTTGAGTCATCTCCTAGTTTCCATTGGAAGCCGCTTCTCTGATAGCAATTGTAAATGCATAATAATAAAATAGCAATTATTAATACAATTATTGTTATAATATAAATACTTGTATGTTGTGTATTTCCAATTAATGGTTTACTATTTATCGTACAAGTTGTATTGGATTTTATCGGTTTACCATCTGAACAAATACAAGTTGCATTATCCTCTTTCAAAACGCACATATAATCGCAAAACTCTTCGTTACACAAATTTCTATGTTTAGCTAAAAAAGAATATAATTTAGCTTTATTTAATAACTCTATTAAAATTAATATACATAATAAGAATTTTAAGATTACTAGAGGTCTTACCATACCAACGAACAGGTTGCCTGGAAATATGAAGAATGGCAAAGTGTCTGTGAACATTATTTGTGTTTATATTTAATGTTTCGCACAATTTGTCACCATACAATTTACAATGTCGCACTTGACCGTTCATACCCGTCAACCAATAAAGTGACCGTTCATAAATATTAATGCTTAACGGATGATGCATCTAAAAAAGCAAAAATATCGTTTTAAAGAAGAAAAGGATTAAATATTCACGCAGTTTTTACATCTTTTTATCATGTTTCTGATTTTAATTTTTAAAAAATGGATATAATGAATTAACATACATTCATTCTTAAGAACGTGCTGCGTTGGCTTCCATCGAAATTAGATAATTTGATAACATTATTAAAATTGTTCAACCAATATAATTTAGACTTTACGTAATCGATTGTCATCCCGCTCACAAAGCCTACATCAGAATCAATAATTTTCATATCGGCGCCCATCATATCTGTCCGACATATTTTGCTAAATGGTTTGTCCATTTGCAAAGTTATTTGAGACCAAAATAGCCATCTACAACATCATGAGCAAATCTAAATTTTGAAAATTCTAACGAAGGTATCATTAATGTCCATCAAATTCGTATCTAGATAGACAAATTTGCCGAAAGCATGTATTGCAAATCATTTCTTTAAATTGTTTGGAGTGAAATCCCACTCTAAGGATCAGTTATTCCACAATCTTCAGATAAATTATCCATTAGATAAATTATCACAATTTGCTTATACATAACTATGCATAATTTTATATAAAATTATACATACATAATTTTTTTACATTCCTTCAAACTTGATTTTTTCTAAAACCAATAGTACGAAAATTATTTTTATAATTATTTTTAATGTTTTCACATTACTATTATTATTTCTATTACACCAAAAAGTAATTTTATAAAAGAAAGAAGGATGTATGAACATGTATAAACATATTTCATATATAATTACATATGTTTATGAATATTTATGCGTGTTTATACATATTTAGATATATTCATGCATGAAAAATCTTTTACCAGGAAGAGAATAAGAGAGCGAGCTGAAGTTTATCGAAAGATGAAACGATCCAACCTTAGGGAATGAGATTTCAATCCAAGAAATATAGAGAGATGTATTGCATACTATGTTAGTCTAGCAACAATAAAGTACAAATTTTTTCTAATATTGGTAGAAATGTATCAGAAAGAAATGTATCAAGCAGATCACGCATTATTATATCATGATGGAATCGAAGTATGCTCCATTCCTAATGCATTTCTGTTGTTTATATATTATGGTTGATAAGTCGTAATAACAGAAACCAAATTTCAAGGGAATATAGTTGATAGGAATTCTCTATAATTATCATTGAATTTATGGACTTGAGGCTAGCGTTTTGCTATCTCGGTAAATATGCCAGATACATGAAAATAAAAAAACTATAAGAGGAATAAAAAAGATACCTATTAAACGAGTCAACTAAAAGAGATCCTACTTTTGCCTTATCTTCTATCTCCACCAGAGGCGCACATCTTTGTTTCTCGAAATTGCACACCTTAAACGAAATAATTAAATAAGTATTCAGGTTAAGATATTCTGTTAACGAGATGTTGAGGAGCATGAGCATGGCAGACAGCGCACTAGTCTATCATGCCAGAGGTCCCGGGTTCGATCCCAGTAGAAACCAAAATAATTATGCTCGTGTCTCCTCTCGGAAGAGGCCGGCAATCTCCAGAGAGTATCCTTGCCCACAAAAATATCTCTTGAAAAATCCGCCGTTCCGAACTGGCATTAAAATTGTAGGTCCCATATGCTTGTGACAATTAAATAATCAGCGCGTGCACCACAAGCGTATGAGAGAGGTGTAACACAGGCCAGAGGCCTTAACGTAAAAAGAAAAGGAGATGTTGAGAAAAAATATACCTGAATCGTATTCAAACGACCATTATCATTGACATAGACATTATCGGTGACCCAATCAATCGAGAGTGCCTGTGGATGCTCTGTAGTAATTGTGAATATTTCCTTCGTTCCAATTTTAAGTTTCTTAATAGTGCCAAATTCACCTATAATTATTTTTTTTTACATTTGAATAACGTAATTCTTTTGAAAGACTCTTCCAATCCTTTTTCAGAAATCTTTTGAATCTTCACATGTGCTTTAGTCGTTCTAGATATCGTAATAATTAACTTAATTTATATAAGATTAAACAAAAAGAAACTAACTGTTACTCCAATATACAGAATCGTGGATTGCGTTCACGTCGAATCCATTTATACTGGAATCCAATAATGAATAGATCACATCAATCGAGCGTAAATTATATGATATCTTCCTAATATCATTATCAGTAATGGTGATGAATTCCATTGGTGACCCTAAATAATCATTAATAATATTTATTGTTCTAAATAATTTGCATAAACGTTTAATTGATCATGCACTTACCGATAGCTTTGCAAGAAACTCCGTCCGCCATATCGATTTTATGATGGTCGTTACAAAGACATTCGAAAGAACCCTCCAAATTCCGACAATATTGCGAACAAACATCGTTTTCGCATTCGTTTATGTCCTCGCAAACCTCATCAGCATTTAAACCATATCCATCTGGACAGCCGCAAACATCGCCTTTTGGTGTCTTGTAACATTGATATTCACAATTAGTGTATAGTGAACAAGCGGTCTCTACACAGAAAAATATAACGCATCAGTAAATAACACAAACTAATCTGCAAGACATAAATTTTTCAGATTTTCAAAAATTCTGAAATTTTCTCTTTTTCACTTTATTGACATTTTTGTTTTTAATTATCAGTGATAAATATTAAACTTATATGAAAAAAGCCAATTTCAGCGAATTCTTTAAAGACAAAAATATTATAAATTAATCGACAAATTTTTCGTTAAAAGAATTTTCAGCAGTTAAAATTATATAGCCCAAGAAAAAAAGATTAATAACATACGGCATTTTCCATTTTCATCGCTGCCGTCTGGGCAGTCTTGAATACCGTCGCATACTTTCAAGTACGGCAGACAAGTGCCGATAGTACATTTGAACTCATTACATTTGGTAGATTCCGTGATGGTGAAGTTGATGGGTTTTTTACCATCGACACAATCTTTCTCATCTGAAAAGTCGTCGCAATCATTCTTTTTGTCGCATACCCAACTCTTCGGAATGCACTTCGTTTTATCACAACTAAATTCATCGTTCCAGCACCCTACACAGTCATACTCGTCATCAAATTTCGGACAATCAAATACGCCATCACATCTGCAAGAAAAGAAATGAATAAAGACGGAAAATTTTCAAGATTAAGATTATAATTTATTTGCTAACGTTCATGATTATTCACTTGCATAACAAATTCTGCAATTTGAAGAAATCTTCACAAAGAACAAGTAACTTAAGGCAAATTTTGATATTCGTGCACACTATTTGCTGACTTATTCTCTTATGTTGTAAATAAAACGATTTACCTTACTTGTTTAGGAAGACACAAATTAATGTCTAAACATTGATACTCATTTTTGCTGCAATTATTTAAAGAATATGGGCATAATACTTCATCGCTGTTATCGAGGCAATCATGGAAGCCATCGCACTTCAGCGAAGCAGATATACAATGACCATTGCTACACCGAAATTGTTCGTCTAAACATTGTGTTATTGATTTACATGCCTCGGGGGTTTCATCCGATCCGTCTTGACAATCAAACTTAAATACAAACAAAATTACATAAAATAACACTGCATAACGTTTTTAGTAGGACAATACAATTTTTACAAAATTGCTAAAATGAACTGTGCTGTATACAAAAAAAATTAATAATAATTCATATATTTTAATTTAGAAATGTAGAGATGCAGTTTCTTAAAGTATAATTTCATTCTGGTAACTTTTTCGCAAGACTGTACCCTGAATTATTAAGTGCTTGTAACGTTTATTCTTAGAAAATAAAAAAATTACATGTAATAAATACAGCAACTGAATTAAACGAATAAAGTATGATATAAATGCTGCTTACTATTTTGTTACATACAAGCATCTCCGGTATGCAAGAGATGGATCCGCTGTGACATTGAAATTTACCTAAAAAGAATTTATTCGTATTATGAATAAATACAATGAATAAATACAATGAATAAATACAATGAAGCTTACAGATTTTTACTATATTAAATATTATAATAAGGCTGTATTCGATAACATTACCCGGATGCCCCCGTGTATTATCTTTTCCTTATTTAACATTGAATGAACAATAAGGACAAAACGATACACAGAGTTAACATTTCCGGACTCAGCCTAAAAATATATAAATTATAAAGATATGACATATATTATTTCAAATTAATCCTTTTTAATTTCATTATGTAATAATGAGACAATTACATATTTTTCGCTTCCATAATATGATATCCTAAAACATTTCTCTTTTATTTTAGCTACCAATTATGTATGTACATACACGCATATACACTTGTGATATCTTATAGATTTCTTTGGATATATCCCACGGATATCGTTTAAAATCTCCCTAGAATCTAAGACATGCGGACACTTGTACAGGGTGTTACAGATACATACTAGGCAGTACGACGGGTTGCACGGCAATTTTGCATAGGTTAAGCGCCTGCCCCCGGGCGCCTACCCATGCAAAATTTGCCGCGCAACCCGTTGTACTGCCTAGTATGTATCTGTAACACCCTGTACATCCCCTGGATATCCGTTGGATAATTGTGACCATCCACGGATATCACAAGATTATCGCGATATTCCAAAATGACGTCCGTTGGACATCTTTAGGATAAAGGGTGCTGCGAGGGTGTATATCGTTTTCTCCTTGTTGTTCAACTAATACTTGGGTACTTTCTGGTGTAAAATTTTAAAAAATCGATTTTTTTATTGCATATTTCAATTGTACAACATTTCAAGAACACACTGTAAAAATTTCAAAAAGAAATTCGAAGAATTAACGATTCTACAGCCAAAAGTCGAACAGCGCTCGAAGTACTGGTAGAGCGGCGAAGGGTACGGCGTTCGGAGCGCAGATAGCGGAGCTGAATAAGGGGAATATCTGGAGTCTTTTTGCTTTGTGGGTTCAAAACACTATTAAAATTTAAAGTATAACCTCAAAACAAGAACAAGATATCAATCGAATTGAGGCCCCTGCTCTCTGAGGAGGTTATTCATTGGATCGAATGATTATTTCTGCATAGTATTGTGACTCTATATAAGAGTTGAAAAACCAAAGAAAGGGAAACCAAAAGAAGAAGAATAAGGGGAATTGTTGCAAAAAGTTGTTGTGAGCAGCTGCTTGGAAATTCAAAAGGAATCCTATATTGATATGGCCGCAGCACAGACTTTTGCATAACGCATAACGCATAGTGCATAAGCGAATCAACTAATAAGAAGCTTTCCTTTCCTCTCATTCCATAGAAAAGAAGAATTTCGATTGGTTGATTCCCTTATACACTATGCATTATGCGTTATGCAAGAGTCTGTGCTGCGGCCATTACGTAGAAAGGTTTAAAAGTTTATGTGTGTAAATACATTTAACTTTCTCGTTCGAGAAGAACGAAATAACCTTGGCGCTTCAGTTTTCATTCGATTTTCGTAGTGTATTTGAAGCTGTAATCATGCCTCTGGATCGAAAAGGAGGTCAATCTAAACCTAGAAGTCATCGATCTACACCAAGGAAGTTTCAAGGGAATCAACACACTATTGAAACCTTGACAGAATTCACAAATACTTCTGCGTTTCTTCTGCGCGAATTATCAATATTTTTCAATAATTCTGCTTTACGCAATAGCCACACAAATAAACTTTAGGAAAAAATTTTGTTTTTTTATTTCAGACTATTGGTTCTTCGAGATATCGTGTCAACCGTTTAGTCATTTTATTTTTTTAACGCTGCGCCTCTCAACTAATTTCTTAAAATTTTGGAATGAAAATATTACTGTAAAAATTTTTTTCATATATTGACATGTGTATTAATAAGCATGTCAAAAATTAGAACCGTATGTCTTACAGTTTTCTTCAAAAAAATTCCAAAAAAAGCCTTATTTTTAGTGCGATTTCACCAGAATGTATTCTTAAATAAGGATAAAATGATACACGGAGACATCCGGATAATGTTTTCGAATATAGCCTTATTATAATATTGAATATAATAAAATCTGTAAGCTTCATGAGATATATCTTAATTGGCACGCAATATGTTGTGTCCGAAGTAACAATGACATTCTTTACTACTATCTTTTAGTTTTGACACTCTCCAATTACAAATCTCTGCTATATTTTAAGGCAGTCTTAGGACATTTCTTGGAGAACTGTGTTGTATGGTAGAAGGATTTGAATATGATAAGATATCTTAAGATATTAATAGGATATCTTATGATATTTTACGTTGTTTTACGATATTTTCTTTAGATATTCCGGATGGGATATCTATGGGATTTCTTTGTCAATATGAAACAATTTGGGATATCCTCAGGCTAAAGTATGCTGTGTGTGATATGAGTTTAGTTGAAGTACATTCATACCGTTTCTTCCAATGTAAATTAACTTTAGTCAATTTACTCTCCGGCTTTTTTAATCCTTAGAACTGCATTAAGATAAAGAATTAGTTGAATCAAGATTAAAATTAAACTATATCTAGAAACGGGCAGAAAGATAAAGATCACGGTTTTATTAAAATATTCCTTCAATCTTCGCATTCAGATATAATTAAATGATAATAAATAGAACAAAAATGCATATGATACTTATTATCATAATTATAATACCTTCTCTGCATTGCGGTCTTCTGCAATTCATCTCATCCGAAAGATCGATGCAATCGTAATGCCCATTACAACGATCTTCTATATCGATACACTCGCCATTTGTACATGTAAAGTGATCTTCCTCACATTTTTTCTTTTCATAGCAGTTCCCCATCGTCTCGTCTTCACCATTCGGACAATGTTCAATACCGTCGCACCTAAATAAATTGTAAGATTTATAAATATTAAGAATATTTATATTATATAATGAAATCTACAAGAAAGGGAAAATGGAATAATAAATATTCCTTTGGTTTGACGAAAAAATAAATTAAATATAAAGGTACAAAAATATATATTCAAAACAAGTAAGTCAATCTCGATAAATTCACGTAATAAACAACACAAAATGTATTAATAAAATATGATAACTGTTAACATATTGACTTCCAATGTACGGAGAATTATTTTTTAATTATGGATTATGTTATTTAAAAATACTAATTAAACGTACACATTTTTCTTTGATATGCAGACACTGTGTTCGCTGCACTTAAATTCGTTCGCAAGACATTCACTAATAATGCAAGTACGATTGTCATCTGAAAGTCCCATTCCAGGAGGGCAAGCACAAATCTAGAAATAAAAATATCACATTGAAATTCCATTTCTTCAACAAATAGTATCATTTCGTAATCAAAATGAGATTAACCAACATATGTCATAAATATCAAAAACAACAATGTTAATTGTATATGAAATGTTTATATTGCGTTTGTCGAATAATTATAACGTTGACATATAATTGCATTGCCTACGTAAAACTTGCATACTTACAAAAGTAGCATTAGAAGAAAGCAAACACACGTGTGAGCAATTTCCATTATTTTTCTGACAATCGTGATCAGGTTTAACATCTTTACTCAAAGTTACCATAAACGAAACTTCTAGAATCATATCTAAAAAGATATCATTTTATTGATTATCAATCCTGTGTATGTAGAGGAGAAGGTATTAAAGCCAATGTATTGTGGCCTCCCTCAATATCTCCGTTTTATATAGCAAATCCTAATAATTATAGAATTATTCAATAGCTCGCGCGCCGTTACACCATGTAAATCTAAATATACCAATACTCAATAGCCAGTACTTATTATAACGCATTCTTACTTTCAAGTATTTTGAAACGTTTCTGAAGATTTTAGTATTTAATTACATCTATTTTGTCATTTTTCCTAAATTTAAGCGTATTATAACACGAATATATTTTTGAGTGTATTGTTTTCTATTTATCATTTTATTTGACTGCATATATTTTAAGGTATTTAAGTAATAGCATGACATTTTGCTAATGTGGTCCTCTATGGGTATTGATTGCTCACGGTCTCTTTTTTAAGGTTTTCATATTAAAATGATTATTTGATCGATTGTAGCTCCACTGTTAATCTATTGGGATCTTAAGTCGTGTCCAATATGGCCGCCTCAAAAAGGATAAGGGGCCGCGCACAATAAAAGGAATAGAGAACAGAGAATAAGAATTTCAATCTATCAGAAATCATGTATTGTGGAATATACATACACATTGTCTTATTCTCTGTTCTCTGTTCCTTTTATTGTGCGCGGCCCCTTATCCTTTTTGAGGCGGCCATATTGGACACGACTTAAGATCCCAATAGTTTATATTACGTGTATATTATTTTCAGTACTTAAATTTTTAGTAGGCTGAGCAGAGCTTATATACACAAGTTACGTGAATGTAGGTATAATATATACATTTATTTGCATACATTTTAAAATGTTTTACTTTTTTGTTAATTTTATAATCAAATACTGTTTTCTGAATAAAACTAATTTTTTAAGGCTATTTTTATGGAAGGCCACATTACCGCACCCATGTTTTTCTTCGAGTTATTATGCAATGTCGCTACATTTTTATTAATAGTGTCCTATAAGTAATAAATATTTCGTAACTTTGAGTCCAGAAACGATTCAACAACATTTTATCGAATGTAATTATCAAGTTTCAAACTTACATATTTGATTATTAACAAAGTTATTATGTAAAATGTAACTGCGGGGGGGGGGGGATATTAAACAAGGAACTCACCAAAAACAAGTATATTCTTATGACTCAGATCAAAAGTGTCTTTAACATTTGTCGAGTATAATTTCTTATTCTCGCTCCATCCGTCACCCTCAGTCCAATAGATATTGTTGCCCATGATAGTAAGACTTGTAGGGATTGTTAAGTTATTACGGAACTTATGTGTGCCTAAAAATTACATACTTTATATTTTTACGATATTCGTACAAACGTATTTTTTCATAATAAATTATTGTACATACATTGAGAAAAAAACTTTTTTAGTTTTAGTGAATACTTCTCTCTCTAAATTCGGATTTATTCAATTTAAATAAAAAGAGATAACTCCTTTTGCTTACAGATCGATTGCCTATAGCATCGTTTGCTTAATCATATTTGCCGACAGTTCGTTTGCGCAAAAAAAGTATCGCCAACAGTTTTTGATTGCTAACATGGAGAGAATTTTTTCTTAGAGTTTACCCTGAAAATATAATAGTTGTGGGACAACATTCTATTTCAAAGAATTTTAATGTAAATCTCTTTTATTCATTAATAAAATAGAATAAAGTATAATATAAATTTAATTAATTTTACTAAAGTGCATGTTAAAAACCTTTAAAATAATGTATTGTACCACAAATACCATATTTTTAGGGTCAATTTTAAAAGAAAATTCTCTATGTGTACATGTACTGTTATGCACAAATATAAAATTAAGAGTAAAAAGTAACTTGTCACCATTATGCGTTACAAATTAGGAGTTATTTTTTTCAGTAACGAATGTTTTCAACCTGTTAGAAGTAACGATTGACTTTGATGTTACCGTTATCGGCATAAAAAATGTCATTATCGTTATTATAACAAGGTAATATTCAACAAAGTAACGGCGTTATAAGTAACGCGTTACTTGCCAACCCTGCATGTAGGCAATCAAAATGTAGGCAATAATTTTTGTGCGAAAATGAACTGTCAGCAAACGTAATGTAGGCAATCGATTTGTAAGCAATCGTACATTTATGTTATAAATATTATTTCTCCCAAATAAATAATATTTATAACATAAATTTTTAAATTTAAGTATATTACGCTAAAGCAGTAAAATTTTAATTTAATAAATTATATAATAAAATATATTAAAAAATTTAAACATACATTTGCGAGACATAACTCAAGACTAAACACTTATAAAAGCTAAAATGCAAACCTGCAGCCGAGTGCAACAAAATAGACCAATGATCATTCACAAAGAGTGTTTTACTGTCTCTATGGTAACACATTGATATTTTTGAACCTGTCAAATTTTCCATAAGCAGCTTTCTTTCACCGAGTCCGTTCATTTGCATTTCATATACAAAATATTTTGTTTCTAGGGATTTTAGAGAAGATTTTTTCTGGAACGCTACATACATCTTGCTGCAATATTTAATATATAATATTTTCTTGATAACTGTTTTGTTAACAAACACTATTATTTCGTAAATGATAAGTCATCAATTTCATAATGCCATACCTTTCTTCGGGTACCAATGTAATATAATAAGGAACATGATCCTTAAAATAGAAAATCGTCATTGCCAAGGTTTTTATATTGTATACCTCGATTGATCTGTTATGTACGTTTAATATATACAAGTTATTACTAATATAATCAAATGCTAACCCGCTATAATCATCATGTGATTTCAACGATATGATGGTTTCAACGGTATCTGTGACAGGATCGATGCGCTTGACAACTGAATTGTCAAACAACTCTAACCAGTTCTCGAATAATATAAATACCTGACCTAAATAAAGTTTTTATTGTAAAAATTTTGGTAACAACGAAAACCAATTGTTAGATAGCCATTTGTAATTTAAAAACAAATTCTAATATATATACCAGTGATCGGATCAGATGCCATGTTTTGTAAATATCCAAAAACAGATAATAATTTAAATTTAAAATTCTCTTTCGGTTTTCCTATCATTCCGTCATAATAGTCTATAAGTTTGTATCTATCAGATAATAGCAAATGCTGCTTCTTTGTCACCTCTGAAATTATACTCTTATCCTTACTCAAGAATGCTTACTTAATAAGATATGTGATAAGCATTGTTCATTATTATTATCATATCAATTTTGATATGCAGAATATGTTAATATATCCTATAAATTTGATATTTAATTTTTAATTTTTAACGAATTTACCTTGACAGGTATGATTGTCGACGTTTAATTCCTTATCCAAAGGACAAGCGCACGTGTATCCATTCTCCTGATTTAGCATGCATAATTCGGAACACGGATTGGAAAGACATGGATTGTTAATCTAAAATTTCATTGAAAGATAATGCAAGCTTTTTGCGATCTACTTTTTATAATGGAAAAATAACATCATGATACTATGCGTACTTTAGGCTTCAGCGCTGGATGTTCGATGTACACATTATAAGGATGTAAACTTCGATGTAAGATATTCCGATCCTTTCCAGTGAATTTATTACATGACTGTATCGCATTGGATTTCATGTCCACCCAATACAATTTATTTTCGAAAACCGCCAGTGAGAATGGGTTGTATATTATATTATGTAGTACAAACTGCGAATAATTAAATTATATAAATGTATTTCATAGAATCTCAGTGTGTTGTACCTTGTAATATTTTATAATTAAAAAAGAAACAAGTTTTAACTCTTCGATCAGTTCCGTCTAAACGTATTGATTCGATTTTCCTTAATTTAAAATCCACCCAATATAATCGATCGGCTTGATAATCGATAGTTAGGCTTCTCGGCGCTTTTATATTTTCAGAGACGAATACACGGATGTTTTTGCCATCCATTCCCGCCACTGCTATATGTGGATTAGAACCCCAATCACACCAATACATTTTCCTATAAATGTAACGTGTGCTTAATATATTTCTATTTAAGTTTATGTTGTTATAATTCTATCTTCTATAATTGAAAAAGTTTAATGTTTTAATATTGAGAATAACAATTATCTTATCAGTATATTTTATAAAATAATAGTGTTAATTCAATTCCATTTGTAGTAAAACAAGGATCCAGATAAGTTCCGGATAAATCAATTAATAAGAATTTGTTTTTTTACTTTCTCCCTTTTTCTTATGTTTTTATTTAATCGTTAGATCATTAAAATTAATTAAAAAGTTTGGAAAAAATTATATTACATTTGGTAAAATAGAATTAAAATATAACTATTAAGAAGATTTGTACGTTCTTAATGAGATAATAAATTAATTAATAAGAACTTCTTCTTCTTTTCTCTCCCTTTCTCCTAACGTTTCTTATAAGATCATTTAGGTTATTAAGAAATAATAAAATTTAAGAATAACTTGTACAAGAAGTGTAATATTTACCCACGAGTTGGTAATAAAGCAATTCCCATTGGTTGATCAATATCATCAATTAATACAGTACAAGTTGTGTAGGTTTCACTGATTTTGCAAACTCCAATATGATGGTTAATCTTGTCCGTAAAATATAGATTTTCTGTGATCCAATCTATGGCCATCGCTGATATCCTTGACAAGCCTTTATACAAGAAAAATGTAAAAAATTCAAAAGGTATAATAAACGATTAGAATATGCAACTTTTATCTTAAAGTACTTACTTCTCAAAAAATGAGACGCATTCTCTTTCGTTATAAATATTAATAATATATAATTTCATATATTTATATAAATATTATTATATATGTAGAGGAAGGTCACCGATACCGACATACCACTTTGTTTTTAGACAATATTTCTTAAACAAAAGGTAAAAATACAACTTCAAAAACATAAATACAAAGTAAAAAATGTCTTCTATTAGATATTATAAGCAATTTTTATAATACTGTTTGCAATTTTGCAATAATTAAGTTTTTCGTAAGTTATGCAAAAATAAGCGTCTGACAAAATGGGCTTCAAAACTGACATAGTAGGCAATAATACCAACATTCCTATTCTATAAATAAA